ATTTATTCCAGAATGTCTCACGCTGCTCTTTCTCAACCCTAGGAATCTAGCTGCACTCCGGTCCATCAGGCAGCCAGTGTGCCTTCACGTGAGTGAAATGTTTCCCCTTCTGTTTGGGAGCATTGCCAATACACTTCCTTGCCTCATTCGGATGTGACTGTCCTTCATGCCTATGTTTTGTTCCATTTAGATCGGCGTAATGCTAGACTCTTTCTGCCGATGTGTATGCATGCAGAATTAATAGACTTCATCTACTACAAAAAGATGCTGGCAGGAGTTTTGTTGGCAGCAGACGGGGTAAGCACATAACTCTCTCCGTGGCTTAGTTACCCTGGTTGCCAATCACATTCAACACTGGCCTCAAGGTGCTTCCTCTTGACCTTTAAAGCCTCGTGGAATCTCAGTCCGAGCGTGTTCTCCAATACAGAAATTCCCTCCCTCACCTTCCTGAGTGCCAAACAGGCTTTACTGAGTCCTCCCTGTCCCATCCTCAGGTGTACAAATGTGCCCAGCCAACTTGCAACTTAACTGCCCCTAGTGCCTTTCTCCTGCAGGAACATCCACCTAATTGTGATCACCACAGTTACACACGGATTGCACTCAAGGCATTTTTTTTTTTAACTCTTTCCCCATAAATGCATGTTTGGCATCCAAAGCTGTGCTGAAGTCCTTTATTTTTAGTAAATATTATATGTGGTTGTTATAAAATACGATAAGATATGATAAGATATGATAAGATATGATAAGATAAGATATGATATGATAAGATATGATATGATATGATATGATAAGATAAAATAAAATAAAATAAAATAAAATAAAATAAAATAAAATAAAATAAAATAAAATAAAATAAAATAAAATAAAATAAAATAAAATAAAAATTGAAGTTGTTGCTCTTGGTTACACTCTCCTCTTACCAAAATAATACAGAGCTTTAGGAAATACGCAACAAGCACACGCTGATCCTGATGACAATTCATAACACTGGATGAAAAGATTAAAAGTAGTGTGGTATAATTAGTATAAATCAATCCACATAATCTGACTTTATTTCAAACCAGTGAAACTTTTAGTAAGTAGTAAATTTGTATGCAATATGTAATGGAAGGACAACACCAATTCCTTATTCTTTTGACTCACACCTGCAAATGAAAAACAGGAGCTCTCTTATTTGCTTGTACACCAACTGGCAGGTTTTGATTCTGCAAGTACTTCTACGTGCGTTCCTCCTGCATAGTCACAACCTGCTCTACCCCGTATCCAAAACTGCTTAGTAGTTTTGTAGTAGTTTGTTTTTTAGTAGTCCATTTGCTGGACTAGACCTAAGAGCAGGATTTATATTTTTAAAGGTTTTACCTTAAGAAAATTAGTTTATATTCTGAAAATGAAACACAATTTTAAAACAATTTACTGTCAGCTTTTGGGGGAAAAGGTCTAGATTATGCTAAAGATGTGGTAGTTATCTGAATATCCTTTCTAGCGGCTGACCCCTTTGGCCTTTGTGGCACTTGCCTCAATACTGCCAATAATAACAAAGCATAGCAAGTAACAGAGTTTGTATCTATAGTCACACATGCATCTGCAACACAACTGTATGCAAATATGTAGTCACTATTCTGTTTCAGAATACCATTTTAAACAACAAGCTCAAACTGACTGAAAAGACTGTTTAAACAACAGTCAATAAGATTTTTTTTTCTTGTACATAGACCTCCCACAAAGATGGTTTTCATAGATTAAAAAAAAAAAAAAAAAAAAAAAGCTTCTTTTTAACCAGACCATACTTCAGCTTCCCACTAAAAGTTCAGTTTTCCAAATATCACCTCTTGGGAAAAAAATCACAAACATTGTTTCCAGAGAAACACATAGTTGTGTTTGAATGGAGGGCATGGCTTGTGTTTTTAAAATCCTGATTATACTTTACAAAGCACTGACTCAGGCCTACATTGCAGAAGGCTTATTTCACAGCATTAAAACACAGCGTAAAATGAGAAGGCTGATCCTGGCCTCTTTTTTATCTTACTGGGAAGTCTGGCTCAACTCCAATCTTCCCTCAGTTTAGGTTTAAGCCGTAAGTTAACAAACTACTTGTCCATATAAGAAAACAAAATTATTCAGCCACTTTACCTTCCCAGGATCATTTTCCTTGAGGTCTGTTCCCCAATCCTGCTCCATGTGACAGAGATTTCCGTGACAGTCAGAGGTTAACACAAAGTGAATGTCATAAAAACCAGGAGCAATACCTTCACTGTAATTGCCATTGCAGGTACACTGCAATTGCTACAAATAAGCAATCATTTTTATCATAGTACAAAAAAAAGGTGTGGTTTAGTTTGTGCTTGTCAGAGGGTCTGTAGGAGTTCGCACAACAGGGGATCAACAGTGCTTTTATTTTAGCAACAAGAGCTGTTCAAGTGACGGTATTTAAAGAATGAGGTCATTTATTCAAGCTGTTTAGATATAACAGTGTTCAATGATGTCAGTCAGGCTCCAAGTAGATAAAAAGTGCATCATGTTATCAGCCAGGCATTTCTAGTGCTGGTGAGCTTCTCACATTTAATAAAACAAGGCATGGAAAATAAACTCCATCCTGGCACAGAGAGATGCTTCTGAAGCCATTTACACTTTATAGCAGAGTTGGAAAATATGAATTACGAGACTTTATGCATGTGTCTCTGAATGCCTGTACTTTGTGTTTAAAGGACAAAAATCAATGTTCATACCTGAATCAGTAGTTTTTCTCTCTATTAGGTAAGATTTCAGTAAGACAGATGTTGTAGCAGGAAATCCTAGGCAACAAAACACATTTTAATTACTATATTGGTGAAAATCATTCAGTAAAGTAACTAATCTGACTTTGTAATTTTATCCTGATAGACTTAATTAACATGCAAGATTTGCCCCAAGATTTTTGGCAGAAGATGTTTGAATGTTACTATGCACCAAAATGCACTCTCTGAAGTAACCCCTATTGTAAAACAAAACAAAACAAAACAAAACAAAACAAAAACAGGTCAATGGCTGACAGTCTGATATTAGTCAGTATGACCGTAACCTCAGTAGGAATTATTTCATTTGGCCCATGGTCTTTACAACAAATTTATTTTCCTATGTAGTTAGTTAAAAATAAAATCTTCCTTTTTCTAAATACAAATATCATGTTTACAGAGATAGGTTTATCTGAAAACTTTAAATTTTGTCTCACTAACATATGTAAATCCATTATTTCTACTCACCTTGAAACTTCTTAACTGTTGGTAACTGATATGTGCTTTCTCAAAACCCATTTTACAAAAAGTATTTGTCACTTAAGTTCTAATAAATATATTTCTGATATGTGTTTAAGTTATCAGTTCTGTTACAATAACCCAGAAGTTAGGCACTGTAATCACTTTTCCGAATAACTTATACTGGCCAAGTCTCTGCCCTGAAAATATTTACATGCATTACTTCAGTAAAAGTATTCACATAAACAAAACTATTCATGTGTACAAGTCTTCCAGACTTCAGCCAAAAAGATGATAGCACTGAGTAAAAAAAACATTGGTATTGTCCATAATACACTGAAGATAAACCAGGCTGTCAGGCAATCATGTCTTAAATTTTTGTGAAATGGTTTATGCCAAATAAATTTCCTCTGACTTCATAAATGCAAAACGAGTTATTTCCAGGCCTCACACATCTAGCGGATACTTATGTTAGGCTTTAGTAATTTACATCATTACAAAGATATCAAGATTGGGCCCTTGTAATGGTAAGTATTTCAACAAATCCCATTCTAAAGTTTTTAGCTTCCTTTAAATTGCATTTTACTGTTTGTGTATTGAAGGAACAAGACTGCAACAATGATGAAAAAGATTTACAGCCTAGTTTGATTTACAGTGCCTTGTGTTTACACAGAAGCTAATAATATCCAATGAGCCTCACCTGAACACGTGAACAATTTTTACTCAATGAAATAAGCCTATGTTGCTTAACAGCAATACTAATCTGCATGAAGAATATGTTCCAAAGAGATAAAGTGAAGTAACCCTCAAAACATGCTTAAACTCCAGCTCCCATTATTGGTGTGCATCCTCAAGGGACTGTAACATTAGCCCTAGTATGATACCAAAAATCCAAGAAAAATTCAGTCTAATTGAAACATATCACAATTTCAAACTGTTCCAAATGTTATCCTGCTTAACATCTGTTACATTAAAGAGAAATAGAAGAAGATGGATAGGAAAAATATTCTATAGGGACTAGATTCACAACAGTTATCCACACTACTTGATTAAATCTTTCATTTTGAACTATTTTTCAAGCATAAAACATACCAAGCAGCAAGTAAACCAGAGAATTATTACACTAAATTCTGACCAAGTAAAGCTAACAATTCAGTAATTCTCACTTTCCCGCTTTATACCTGGACAGCAACCATCTGAACTGTAAGATAATCAATATTTATCATTAGACAGAAAGAAGAAATGTGGATGTCTTTCTGTAGAAACGATCAGTGAAAGTACTGCCACAGACAGGGACAATACTGAACAAACAGCCAGAAGGAAGACATGAAATAAAACCAAATTCTTTCGGTTAGAAAAAAAAAATAAAAATTCACTGACATGACTAAGTTATTCATGTTTGTTTCTGCACTTTATCAGTCATTCTTTTCTCTGACCCCACCCAACAATAGCAGACATAGATAGTTTTTTTTCTTTTCTCATTACAAGATAAAATGAAAGCCTCTTTGAAAAAGGCTCTTTTTTTTTTTTTTTCTTTTTCTTCTTTCATGTTGCTGCTTGGGCACTGCGTGTTTTCTCCTTTGTGTAGTCTGTGTGTACGCTAGGTACCTGAACCTGCCCCAAACAAAAATTATGCCTGAAGCTAAATATAGAAAGCAATTTGTACCTCATCTACCTGTCAGAACCACAAGTTGTTTATATTCACTGAAAAATAGGAAAACCTGTTGCTAGCTACTGGACAATAGACAAACCTGTCTCCTTAGGCAGTAAGTCGCTGGACAGCCTCCTTCTCCAAAGGCACTCACTGAGCAGTTTCCTTTCTTTGGAACTTTCCCTGTGGTGGAATTCACAGAGCTCTTATTAATGAGCATTAGCATTGGGTGTACACACAAATTGCACACAGGAAGGCAAAAAGCAGTGAGCCAGTCCTTCAGTTAATGTAAACTGCCAGGGTTTTGGGGTTGCTTGCTTGCTTGCTTGCTTCGCTTTGCGTTACTTTTTACAAGCCTTGTGGCATTAGGCTGAATGCTCATGCTGAAATATGACAGGTCAGAGGGGACAAATGCTTGGTTACTTTCACTCATCCAAGCTGCTGTTTTAATCTTGCTGAATTGCATCTGTTCTGGAAAAGTGTTTTTCGAGTTCAAACTGGACCACCTTATTAAACAGCATCAAGGCTACGTTAATAAGGATTCTGATGAGCATAAATTTCTTTCAAAATTTTTGACTAACACTCTCCTGTCCATACAATCCAATAAATACCAGAATAACTATCAATAGAAGCAAATGAAACCTATCTAAAGAATTCCACTATGGAAATTTCAACCAGGGAGATTTGCTTCCATTACAACCAATTCATAGGGTGTTGAGAGCATTTTACTCCTTCATTATTTCATGTTACCAAGCTGCTGGGTGATCTATGTTGTATGAATGTCTCATTTCATGGCTGAACAAAAGCTATCACAGCCACTTTCCATATCTGATTCAGAAAACCTGTTATTGCTTATTACAGATGGAGTTCAAATAGACATGAATGATTGAGTCCTATTTCAGCTGTTTACCAGATATACCACCAATTACATTATGAAATAATAGAGGAAAATGTTTCTAATTTTCTGTTAATTGAAGGTAAATTACAGTTGTGCTACAGGTGAGAATAAACCAGCAAACCTCAATTATATTAATTAACCTATGTAATTTAGGCCAACTGAACATAACTCTTTGCGATTTTTCTACATTTATATACTGGAGCATGTAACACGCTGTTTAATTGTGATGAGGTAGAACTATTAATTATAAATGCAAACAGAACAGAGTTCAAAAGAGTGAGCTTGGAACCTCTTAATTTCGTTGTTATTATTGGCTGGCCATCACACATCAGCTTTATGAAGAAACACCCCCAAACTGGAACATGCTGTCATCTTGCAGTCAGCTTCCGTATAAATTACCTCCCAAACCATTCCTCCTTCCCAACAGTCAAAGCAGAGCCTTCTCCAGCTTGAGCCTTCGCCAGCAAATCTCTGAAAATGGTGTCAGGGAGCAGATTTAGCACAGTCACACAATAATGCTGAGTAACTCTGATCCTCACTGGGAATAATTTCTGCTGCTGTCACTTCTCAGCCATTACATCTGAGGAAGTTGCCTTCTTTGCTAACTCAAACTTTATTTGCTGTACCACCACTGTCTGCAAAGTATGCTTGTCAACTTCCCAGAATAAAACAAACCGTCCAAACGAGTTCCTCTGGGGAAGGAACAACAGCCAATCCCTAGCCATGACTTTAAAAATACTTCTGCCTTTTCATTTCTTCTCTTTAGGAAGGAATCTTATTATTTTTATGTATTTATTTATTTATTTACAATCATGCATCCAAATCTTTAAAAGGAAACATTTTTAAAAGGATCTTCTAACATAATTTCAACACCCTCTGCCTTCTTTCCCTTAGGGCCTCACCATTTTCCTCATTTCCTCCAGAGCTACTTCCCTCTTTCTATGCTTGTTTCCTTCAAACACCTTCTCATCTTTCATGTATTTTAAACAACAAAAAATCCCATTTAAAATGTTTGGGAATGAAATAGTGACAAAATTCATTGGTGGGTAGTAAAAAGGACACAGAGCTTTGGCGTGACAGCAAATCTATTCCCCTAGCTTTAAATGCCAGACAATCCAACAAGATTGAGGAATCTTTCCGATGAGTTCAGGAGACATTACATCGTCATAGCTTGCCTTGGACAACTTACAGACATGCACAAGGCATGATTCTAAACTACAACACTTTACTGTTCTTTCTGGCTTACTTTTAGAGTAATCAACAGCAGTATTCATATTCTGTCTACTACTTGTTTTCCTTTGCAATCACAAAGTTAATCTTCATACATTACCAAGTTAAACCAAACCAATGTACTGTTTAAGACTTCTTATTCAGAGATGATATGGAAGGCTCAAACTGCCCTGTGTGCCCAAACAGGCACACCTTTGTGGAGGAAGGAAGGAAGGTAGGGAAGAATGACAGCTCACAGATGTCTGATGCTTTCCATCAGCTGTGGCATACCTACTGAAACCAAGCGCTCTGAGGGGCTGCTTCCAGACAACAGGTATTTACCGATTTCATTTTTATTTTACTGGCAACTTAAGACATTGTGAGATCTATAAATTCTTGTACCTTCATGATTAGGTAAGACAACTCCATATTGCATAAACTTTTACATGACACTCATTCTACATAGTCAGCCAACGTTTATGCTCTCAGACCAATTAAGTCTTCAAACCGTAAGCATTAGCATCTGAGTCATTTAAAATAAGGATATACAGGCACCAGAATCCCACATAAGGGGGAACAGAAGCCAAGGAAGAAGCAGTTATAAGAAGCTTTTTTCAGCTCTGAAAACACCAAGTCATGCTCTGCAGACTGCTGAAATGACTTTCCTTTCCCAACTAGCCTATGGAATGCCTCTGCAACACTGGCAAACCACAGATAGGCTTTCTGTAAGAGCTCCTTTTTAAAGCTTCACGTATCTGTGACAGCCCAATGGTTGTGCCACTTCGAGATTTAGTTAGGGGACATTCTCTCTCACTTGCAGTGTGCTCAGTTAATTGCCTGTTTGAAGAACAGATCACATTTCTTTGGACTGAGATTCAAACTGGCAATAAGCTTATTACAGCCTATTAACAAATGTAATGTTTTCTGTTAAAAAGCGTTCCTACACATCAGGATACCACTCAGCTCCAAGAAACATGCCGTGCAAAGTTCTCTCAAATATTTCAGATGTACTAAGCCAAAAAAATATAGATTAAATAGCTTGTACATTTATACCCCAGGAAAGGTAGGTTTCTCTTTCTCACCCCACATGTTTTCACCTGCCAAAGCACTTTTATAAAACCAACACTGGGGCAATTTTTCCTCCATAAACACCCCAGTAAGAATACTCAAATAATCTCTTTTAGCACAGTGTAGCGGCCTAACCACGTTGGGCTTGTGGGAGAAGTTGATAGCTGCATATGTTTGGGGATTCCACTTATCTTGAAAAAAAAAGCCCAAATCTTCTCAGGTTCTTCAGCTTTGAAAAAAACTTGCTTGCAATGAAAGGAATTTCCTTTCCTGCATTAAATCAAGTATTATTGCCTCAATGAAACAATGTATGCTGTTAATATGGTCAGTTTTTTCTCAAATTATAAGGTATTGTTTGTTTCTTCTTTTCCTATGTAGACAGCAAGCAGTATTCTCTCTTCATGAATCTTTCTCATTCTTCTTCAGCACTCCATAAGTGAAATATTGACCCAACATGCTTCCTGCAAACATGGTGACATCGCCGTGCCAAGCCTTCTGCAAACATGGGGGCATCAGGGAACTTACTCCATACATTTTTTCCTTGAAGTTGGAATTACATGACGAGCATGAAGGATGAACTAAAAATTTGCATTTCAACCCTATCAACAAAAAAGCTGCACATTTTTCATGTTCTAGATTATGAATATCTGGAAATCTGAAGCCTTCTAAAAATGCAGAGGCTGACCTAAAACAACGTAGAAAATATGAGGTTTTGCAGTCTCTTCTCTGTCTGTGAAGTCTACACAGCATGTTTGAGTGTGCACAGATGCAGCTGCTTAGAGCGGAGCCAGGCAGTCATGACACCTGCAGAAACTGTGTCTATAGCCTGGTATTGAGAAGAAATGAGGACCTCCATGTCTTGTTACAGCCTTGGGGATGAACAGCACTGGGGCAATTTTTTTCCCATAGACAGCCCAGCAGGAATTCTCACTTGTTACCTGAGAGATCTTCTTGTTACCTATTGGTCTCACATGGTAACAGTGCAAGAACAGAGCACAAACCCTATAGATAAAGACTAATCATCTAAAAAGATACCATGCTAATTTTCCTCATGAAATGTAACAGCTACAGAAAATCCATTTGCAGCCTGTCAAAGATGGATGAATAAAAGAAAGAAAAAAGGAGCTAATTCTCCATTTTTTTTTCCTGTTTAGTCATTAGTCAGAGACCACTAGACCCAGTCCCCTAGTAAGGACAGAAGACCCCTGCAGATATAATGGGGAATCTGAGTGTGAGGAGTCCCCTTGCAGCAGCCTGTGCACTGCCACCTGCCTACCACCACCTTACTGTTGACAATGCTTCATCATCGTGAATATCTTCGATCAAAGATCTTGAGCCAGCTGTGCCCTCTTGGTTTGTCTTGCAACGTGTCACTGCAGCAATACAAATATAGCCAGTCCATTACTCTCAGATTGTCTGACTAAGCAGTTTTTGGCTGAGAAAACACTGTTATTTCACTACTGGGACGAAATTTTTATTTCAGATATAATCTTGCAGTCATAGAATTTCCTAGCTAGAGCTAGAGCTACACCTCTAAAAATCCAAGGGCAGATTTGGCCCTTAATGGGCAAACAGCTCAAAAAGGAATCCGCAACTGAGCTTTTTTTGCCTTTTTTTTTTTTTTTCCCATCCAGAGAGTTAATATAATAAAGAGATGACAGGGCACAAAAACATGGACAGAAAGCAAAATGTTAAGGATGCTATAGGACCAAATTCTATTATCAGTAAAACATTTATTAAATAGAGAAATTCTGTAAGAATTTACTAAATCTAGTACTAAAACTACTTGTCTTTTCAAGGGTATGGAGAGCTATTTAATAACCCTGAGTCAGGTGTTCCTGGTTAAAAGTCTACATAACAGTAATCCCACATGCTGCAATTTTAATAAAATATTGACTGATCTTTTGGATCATACTCCATAACTTGACCCTGGCTTTTTATTTACTATTTATGAAATATGGGAGTCGAGTCTTAAGAACAACAGCAACAAAACTTCCTGATAAAATAC